CCTAGATCTTTCTGGAGGCAGGTCCAGTATTCCATAATCCCTGCTGCCTCTCAATCAATTTTTGTTGAATGAATGAACTTCTATTCCAAATCCCATACTTGACTTTACCAAGCTGTTCTTTCTTACTTCGGGTATACATCTACAATTTTGTCAATGTGGATACTCCTTTCACTAACATTGATTTAGATGATCTTTAAGACTTACTAATCAATTCTTTCTTACTTTAAGGATCTATAATTTTGTCAATGTGGATACTCCTTCCACTAAAATTGATCACAACCCCTTTATAATTTGGTAGATGGTCTTTGAGAGCTGTCTAAATGGCTAAAGTTGTCATTCTCCTGTAGCCAATCAGGACATGAGCCTCATTGAATTTGTCAGGATTGATTTTCAACAGAAGATCAATGAAGACCATCACCAGAAGCATTCCTGAAACCTTTTAAAAAATAGCGTCATAGTTGTAATTTAGCATTCAGGCTTAATGAGATTACTCAAATTATAATGACAATGTCTCTCCCATCCTTCCCCATGTCCTTTACATATCTTTGGAGTTATGTGAAAGCTAAATGGGTCACCTTGGGAAACAGTGGGGTCTACTTCACTAGAAGTTTTAGGCACAGGGTGGCAGGACCTTCTTGGTAGAAGATGTCAGAGATTGGACCCTGCAGGCACAACTTTTTTGAGCCCAGAGTAACTTTCATTTCACAATGAGGACTTTAGTGAAGGATTCCCCCCCCCCCCCCGCCACCCCACCTTCCTCTTTTTTTTTTTATTTTTTTGTTTCAGACCTGTGATCTTGGCAATAAAAGGTAACAGTCAGTATGGAAACTCCCTTCCAGTATGGCAAGTCCCTTCACAGGATCCTGGCAACTCCTGTCACCTTATGGAGCTTTCAAGACCTTTTGAGGTTAAATGACTTGCCCATGGTCACCCGGCCAGTATGCATCAGAGGCAAGGTTTGAAGCCAGACCTTCCTGACTTTACAATGCTTTCTCTTGTCCCCCCATGTTACATAGCTTTCCTGAGCTAAAAAGCTAAATTGGTTTTATGGACATTTTTAAAAAGCAGGGAGTCTATAGAAAGAAGAACCTTATTGTTTAACATTAAAGGTTACAAGATACAAATTGGGCCAAACATTCTCATCGTTATAGATCTGTTTCTCTAATGCAAGATTGGGATGAATAATTTAATAACTTGAACCAAAACTCAGTTGCTGCACGCTGGTTGCTAGGTCAGGTTTTAACTTAAAATTATTCCAAAATATATGCGCCTGAGAAAACGCCACGTGCACCCTAAAAGCACACTTGAATTGGCAGCATAGGTATGTGTGTAAACAACTGTAGATTAAGTAGTGTTAGGATGGATATTTTGATGCTATGTTCTTTTTCAATCATAGATGTTACTGGAATTAAAACTGATTCACAGTAACAGAGATTAAAGCATTTTGATCATTGGCTTTGGGAAAAGATCCCAATGAAGACTTAGTCTCTATCTATTTTTATCAGCATGGCCATCATTGATCTCTGGATAGCTTAGAAACCAAAGATCAGGCTACTTTTATATCTCTCGTTCAGGATATTTTATGCCATGCTATTCTAAGCAAGATACCCTCTAACTTCCATTGCCTGGCTTCAACCTCAGGAAAGTTCTGTTGGTTACCATGGTGCTGGAAAGTTTCAACAAAGAGGCTGAGTTTGCATGAATGTAGTTTTACAATGTTCAGCATCTTTCAGATTGTATGAACTAGCAGTGATGAGGCAGGCATCAAGAAATATTGCCCCATGTGTATTTTGTTTTTTACCTCTGGGAGCTGGGAAAATAAAAGAACATGAAGTATTTCATAATAATTTTTCAAATGGGATTTTGCAAGTTGTAGTATATGAATGTAATGGAATACTATTGTTCCATAAGAAATGATGAGCAGGCAGATTTCCGAAAAAACCTGGAAAGACTTGCATGAACTGATGCTGAGTAAAATGAGTAGAACCAGAACATTGTACACAGCAACAGTAATATCGTGTGATGACCAATTTTGATAGACTTAGCTCTTCTGAGCAATGCAATAATCTAAGACAATTCCAAGACTCATGATGAAAAAATGCTATTACATCCAGAAAAAGAAAGACTATGGAGTCTGAATGCAGATTGAAGCATACTATTTTTTCTTTCTTTTGTTGTTTTTTATTTTTTTTCTTTCTTGTGGTTTTTCCCTTCTGTTCTGATTCTTCTTTCACAACATGACTAATGTAACGTTTAATATGATCAGACATGTACAGAGTATATCAGATTGCATGCTGTCTTGGGGAGGGGACAGTGATGAGAGGAGGGAAAATTTAGAACTCAAAATCTTATAAAAGCAAATGTTGAAAACTAAAAATAAACAAACAAACAAACAAACAAACAAATAAATAAATAAAATGTAGCTCTGAAGCTTGAGTTCAGGGTGATTAAAAAAACATCAGTCAAGTTCAGTTCAAGTCAACAAACATTTATTAAGTGCCAACTATCTGTTAGGCACTAGAAATACAAAGATGAAAAAGGGACTCAACATACAAAGATGAAAAATGAGGTATCCTTGTAATCAAGGAGCTTACATAGCGGAGCTTCATAAATGGACCTTCAAACACTGGTTTCCCTAATAACTTAGTGGACCAATCTATATTTTGTCTTCTAATCCAGGTTGTCATCAATTTAAAGACAGTCTCATTTTATAGACACGATTGTCATAGTTTCTTCAATTTCTCCTCCTGTCTGCATGGTTCTACATGGATACAGTAAAATCTCCCTATTCAGACCAAGTGGTAAGACCAGTCTGTTTGTCAAAATTATAAATTATGGCATGTTTTTAAAGCAAGGTCACAATTATTTTCCAGTACATACAGAAGCTTGAGCTATGTAAATAATGTCGCTTACTAGAAACCTTGAGGGGACCTATTTTAATGAGTAGATACGAATAGATTGTGTATAGTTTTCCTATATGAAATATTTAAAAAGTTTGTTCTGAAATAGAATCATAGCATGTCAGGGCTGGAAGATAAAAGCTTGTCTGAGATCAACATCACAGTCAACCAGCTAATATAACCATCTAATTGAAAAGTATGTTGCTTATGGGTCTTGTTTGCATGAATAAATCACATTATTTACAAAGTGAGGATTTGACAAGCAAAGGTAAATTCTATTCCAGTCATGACATATGTCAAATGACTGGAGTCCAAATTAATGAGGTTTCATGGTAGCTGAAAAAATAGAAAAGGAGTTTCCACATTTTTGTCACGTCAACTCCTTACTGTACAAATAGGAATCACTGTTTATTAAGAATAAAACTGGGGCAAAAGCTAGAAGGGTCCAGTCTGCACAAGAGATAGGTGAACTAAAGTCACAAGAGCATAGAGACAGAGCAGAAGAAATCCTAGAATCCATTCAACCCCTTTATTTTGATGAGAAACTGAGGCACAGAGGGGGTAGGTGACTTGCCTAGGATCCATAACTAGTAAGTGTGTGAGGCAGGATTTAAAGAGAGGTCATCCTAATCCCCAATCCTAACTGCTATATCATGTTCCTGGAATGTGGAAATCAGGACTATGGCGGGAAGAGAGTGAGTACATGTTTCACCCTTTCAACTATTACCTGATGATGGGAAAACTAGTGAGGAAAAGAAAGAAGCCCTTTCCCATGGAATCACTTTGGAGAATACATTTTTTTTTTGATTCCCCATTGCTCTGTTAATGACTGAAGAATGTAATATGATTCTTTTTAAGCGGTGGGGGCGGGGGGAGGCAGCAGGGGGTGTGCCTGGAGCAGTAATGGGACAAGGAGGAGCAAAAAAAAAAAATTACATCTCCCAAACATTTGACCATCCAGCAATGTTATGTGTTGCATTAAAAAACAACAGCAACTCTGACTGTTGCTACCTCTGAGCATTTGTTTTATCCATCACGGCTTGCTCTGGAGCTTTTCCTGGGTGCTTCTGCTAGGAATAAATAACTTGTCTAAGTGACCCATAAATACAATTATGCCTTCTACATCACTGTGGTTAGGAATGCACTTCCCTCATGGATCTGGAAAATCCATGTAAAATTTTTTGGCCCTTCGTATCAGAGAAGTCTGATTTTTTTCTTTTTCTTTTTCTGTTACAGGGTGTTCACAGTACCTTATTGTAAAATTTGGGTTAAGTGTTTGGTTATAGGAGCTGGGTCATCTGCTGGGCTTTGCATGTCATCTGTGACTTCTGCAAAACTCCCCCCAAAATTTCCATTTAATTTCTTATCATGACCTGTGATATATCAAAACCACAATGGGGTAAGTCGCAATGTGGAAGGGATAACTGTATGTGTTTTTACATTCACCTGATAAATTAATTCCTTCATAAAAAGAAAAATGCAAATACCTAGACCAATTGACTTATGTACAATACACAGATAATCATATACCAAAAATTAAGTATGAAGATAATTATACCCGGACATGTACATTCAGATGATGCGATTTGCTAAGTCACCATTTCTAGGAATGCTACTTCATCTGACATCTTCTCACCAAATCTTTACTGAGTGTGGTGATGACTTCAAAAGACCTGAAAACATTTGAAAAGGTATGTACATTCAGGTACCAATTGATCTAGTACACATGTGTACCCAGGGCTGCAAAACCCTGGATGACAGAATGCAAAATTAGAGTTTCTTTTCATCTTAAGGGCACCAACCTGTTTGTATGCTCTATGAAACAGATATTACAGCAAGGACTGACAGAAGGTAGAGTATCCTGAAATCCCTGTTTTCAATTTTTAGCCATCTTAGTGTTTCTTTAGTAGTAACTGATATAAAAATCTATAAAATATTACCAAGCTAATCTTATGTTGAATTCAAAATTCAGTTCTCTTTCCCTAAAGCATTCCGGAGATATGAAAAGCACAGTCACACCATTATTGTATTTTCCTTTGTATTCTTTCTCTTCCTCACACATTGAGGAGATATATTAAGAAGAAATTTTTTTTTGGTTCCTTCAAATCCTCCCTGCCCACCCCTCCCCCACTTGGCTCAGAAATAGCCATCCTACTATCAGCACAGAGGAGGCTTCTCAAAGGCACCACAGACAAAGGATTACATTAATGGAGCCTGGCCACTGGCCACCATCTGAGCTGGGGAGAGTTAGTCAGCATGATTTCTCATCTCTCTTCCTTCTTTGGATCTCTCTTTTACCTCCCTTGGTTGGGAGTGTGTAGGACTGTTGGTTTCTCAAGAGATTGCCAGCCCTGAGGGCATGTTTAACAGAACTGGGTCTTCAGTAGTTGTCTGGATCTCTTTTCCACTAAGTCCAAACTAGAAACTTGAAAGGAAATTCTGAATGTAAATGGGATCTTCTAAACACGTGTAAGTCATCTCACGCTCCTCTCTCCAAAACACAAACAACCAAGCAGTGAGGAATTTTTCAGGGAATATGCGTGTAATGTAAATTTATTAATGAGTACTCAGATGTAAACAATTAGTGTTTTAGGTGCCTCTCAAACATGCCAAAGGATGTGATTCTTAACATTGATCCTTCTAGAAGATTGTAAGCTTCTCAAAAGCAAGGGTTGGGTCATTTTTCATTTTATATAGCCAGCACCCAGCACAATACTTTGCACCTAGTAGGTACTTAATAAATGTTTGTTGAATCCATGAATTTATAAACAAGGGCTCAATGTACTTTTTACACATCTGAGCATTATACTACAAGACAACTGAACACTAAAATATATGCATTAAGGGGTGTACTGCTTAAGAGGTTAACATTATAGCTTGCCCTGAAATACTCAGTTGTGTATATGAGATTGACTGAGATGTACATGTGACCTTCTCAATACTAGGACTTGGGGTGGTGTACATGGTTTATTTTTAAAGTTTTAAGTTTTCATTGAACACTGCCATTTTCCAAAATATGTTTACTATTATAAATGCTTTACCACAAACTTGTGAGGTATATCAAGATTCCTGGATGTTTATAAAGTAGGACCCTCACACAAATAGCTTTTTTTTAAGTATTGAAGAGTAGGAGGGAGGGGGCCACATAATGTGTCAGTGGCAAAGAAAGGAAGTGAACTCAAGGAACTTGTTTCTTTCCCAGAACTGGGATGAACAAATTCATTTGATCTGCCTTCCCTTTGCTGGTTTTCCTAGAGCAACTTTTCTATTAGCTACCTAGATACACATACTATTTCTTAATACTTTCTGATAATATCAAGGAGCTTTGATACTTAGATAGCTAGGGGAAAATTAGCCTTGCCCACTCTCCCCTTAAGTAGAGCTCAGTGCCCACACATGCATGCACACACACACACACACACACACACACACACACACACACACACACACGCTCCCAGACTTAAAAGGACTATGTGGTCCAACTTGCATCTTAACAATAATACCCTCTTCTAACAAGTGACTGGTTATCTAGCCTTTGCATGAAGACCTCCAGTGATGGCACCCTCTTCCCTCCCAAAGCCAACCCTTCCAATTTTAAATATAGTTCTCTTCAGACTTTTCTTTCCATTGAGACTTTTGCTACTTTCCAGCTCCTCCCATCACTGCTAATTCTTCCCTCTGAGGCCAACAAACAAGTTTAAACAAAATCTGAGGGATAACAGCATACAATGCTACTATTTGGAATCCTGTCTTCAGTCTTTAAAAGAGATAGGTATAGTAAGGTGAAAAAAAGTTAAGGTCAAAGTGTCTGAAATATCCCAACTGAGGGCTAATCATTTATTCGTGGATTAATTCTGCTTTACCTCCAAAACTGTCCATTTTAACTAGATCAAAAAATAGTAAATGATTACTTATGGACCCGATTCCTGTTTGAAAGTAAGCCATGCTCTGGATAAACATTAGATACTTCCAAGGAATGCATTAGCTCTTTTAGATCATAAGGATATGATTTAGAAGAGGCTGGCCCAGCCTTGGCTCAATAAAGACCAGGTTAGTGTTTGGTAATTGATGAGACTTTGCTGTGCTTTTTGTTGGAGGAAGAGAAGGTGCTGAGATTTCAAAGTTTTGTTTTTTTTTTTCCTTAAATAATCTGTTTACCACAGATCCTTTTCATTTTACTGGAAATGTGCCTAAGTTGGGATTTGGGGATTGGTCAATCAGTCAACTAGTATTTATTAAGCACCTACTATGTGCCAGGCACTGGGCTAAGTGCTGAGATAAGTTTGTTGACTCTCCTTCTACATTTGCTATCACCATAAGCTTCAAGCTGGTCCAGTTTGATTTAATGCATTATGACTTTAATGACCTGAATGACAGACTCTTGTCCAAAGGAACTAATGAGCCTCCCCAATGTTCAGTTTCCCTCCAGGCAGTAGCTGGAGGATCTGGCCCTATAGGTAACTAGGAGAAATGAGTCTACTAACTGATGGATGAGGTAACCCTTTCCTTCTAGTACCCCTCTTCACCATCCTCTCCTGCAGTGGCGGCCTCTAGGGCTGCAAGGGCTTCCGCTACAGCAGCATCCTCCTGTTCAGGGCTCCAGTCAAAGTCATGTTCAGATACATCCTCATTAAAGTCAATAGTTAAGGCCTCAGTCTTAATGGCTTCGTTTAGTGAATCCCAGCTTCTCCTTTTAGAAAAAGACAGGTCTGAGATGTGATCTCCATTTGCATAATCCACTCTGTCCATTGGCTCAACCTGGATGTGATTATTCAGAAAACAATAATTTTCATCCACAATCTGGTTTATCACTTGCACCTCAACATGAGGATAGTCACGGACTGGTAGCGGTATGATGTGGTTTTGGACTTCTAACACGTGGTTACTTCCTGGGGAGGATGCACCTTCTCCTGAAGCTTGGGAATCTCCATTTAGGATGACCTGAGTCTCTTCTGTAGCTTGAGGCATAGGATCTTTTGTCCCTGGGTCACTTTCTTTAACCAAGTGTTCAAGAGGGTCTCCATCACTTGCAGCACTAGCCAAAGACCCACTGCCACTCTCATGGGGAGGGATTTCTTCTCCTTGGCTAAGACTGGGATTTACATCGAGGGACAGAGCAGTACTGGAACCAATCTCATTGAGTGTAGTGTCAGTCTTTGTCACGGAGTTACCTGCATGATCCTCGTGGATCAGAGGTCCTCGATGATGCCAAAACGGCTCCTGTGTGCTATTTAGTCTGTTTTTGGTTTCAGTCCTCTGTAGCTCCTCATTCTGAAGCTCATTTTTATGTACTAGTATTTCACTGTTCTCTTTGCCCTTGAGTTTGATGCCATCTTCTTCCTCTGGCTTGTAACTGTTTACTTCATTGATATAACCAGCAGGTGGCGTATGAACTGGATCAAAGAGATAGCTAGGAGAAAAAGGTTGGTAAAAACCACAGTGGCTTAGATTCTTAATACCACTAACATTTATTTGTAAAAAGCTTTACTGATGTGCTTTCTTTTTACATTACAAACATTTATATATCACTTCTACTTTGTGAGAAGTTTCTTGTAACAAATTAAAACAACTGAGTAAAACTAATAATACAGCAATCTCATCCGAAAGTGCTTACAACATTAATAACTGTTTCTCAATGTTTCATTTTTCATTAATGCTAATCTAACCTTCCATGATTAGTAAGTCTTTCAACCCAGTATAAGCTTCTGTTTGAATCAAATATGTGTTTCGGGATAAATTCATTTTTAGTTTGAATCAATCCATTTTGAACTAATGAAACTTAATGTGCAGATTTCAGCTATGGAAAGCCCAGATTTTTTTTTTAATTTGTGTAGAAGCCAGTTTAGAAATGCCAAATTTAGTTCAAATCATATTCTGTCTCAATAGAATGATATTCTTAACCCATTCTGGCTAGGTAATTGAAAGGATGATTACTTTCCCCCACCCCCCTGTTAAAGAGCCACTTATAATGCTGATCAACACAATACTTTTAAAATACAGACTGAACCTTTTTAACTAATATCACATCTACAGAAACTCTTAGCTTATCTTCAATACACAGCTGCTTCAGAAACTGAAAAGTGTTTCTGAATGGTGTACTAAATTAAGAAACATGGCTTTCTTATGACCTCAGATTGTTCTCTTCAGATAGAAATCTTTGTTCTACTTTACCTTTGTATCATTTTACAGCACCTGCACCCCATCTGGATTATTTTTTGTTACCATCTGGAAAATAAAATGTAGAGGACAGGGAAAAAAATGAATAACATTTCAATATGAACTGAGGGGTGGTAATGATTAAGTTGTATCTTTCTCCCAAAGATCCAAAGTTGAAGAATCAAAAATTTATGTCTAAAATATGAGACACTCAGTACCATAAGGATTTCTTTCACTGATTCTACAGGCAAGGGTGTGCTGGTAAATATTTAACAACTGGCTTTCTGAAATGTATGCTGGACACACTTTCAAGTTTAATCTCTATTATTAACACTTCTCCATCACTTTTTTAAGTATAGACAATCAACAAAACAATTAGTCATGCCTTAATTTGTAGCATTTGCTTATTTGTGCTATGTAAGTGCTTACCCCCCAAAAAATCAAACAGTTGGCTCTTGAGAGGTAGTACAAGCCAGCTCCAGGACACTGCTGTCTATTAGGACATAGATTATCTCATCCAACCCTAATTTTGTGAATTGTTCAAGGCCAGGTGTAGAGTAAGTAGCAGAGTTGGGTTCAAATGGACATCCTCTAATTCTAAATTTGGTCTTCCTCTACTATTCCACATTTCCCAGTGAAGACATAGGAAGCTCAGAAACAATGGTTAGTGTGTTTGGTTAAAGGCAGGTTTATCAATGAGGTTTAGCTGCAGGACCAAAAAGGACCTTGTTACAAGGCAGCTCATTACAGGGAGATCTCATGACATAGACCTCAAGGCTATGGGTCTTCAGAGATTATTGTCAATTTCTGTAAGGAATTCCAATAGTAAAAGGCTATAAGTTTTCAGTTACATCACTCCCATTTTTTCCATGGAGGTAACCCTGGATTTTCAAAGGTTATAGTAGTTAAGTGTAAGACCTATTGGGTCCTATTAATAGGAAAGGATGGAAATAGGCTCAGCAACAGACTAAGTGTGTTTATCCTCTGAGAACCAGCCTAGTGAAAATTCAAGAGGATCACCATAAGATGACTGTTTACCAAGAGATGAAAATTTTTAGCTACAGCAATTGGAAGACCTACTCTGCTGCTGACGGATGAATCTTTTTGCTTTTAAAAAGACTGTGAAAAAAAAAAGATTGTGAAGATGGATTTGGATCTATCTCACCCCTGCTCCCCCCACCCCCCCATTTCCTCTATAACTATTTTTCCCCCGGACCAAATACTATTCCTAACATGTACCTGAATTTTATGTTTGTATATCAGTAAAAGGAATTGTCAACAACTAGGTAAATCTTAAAATTAGCATAATACATTTTTAAAAATTAGTCTCAAAAAACTGTTCAAAAATTTTCCCTGATCATTGTGAAACTTTTGTATAAAACACATTAACTACAGTGTGAGAAATTCATGAACTATACATTATATACCATTAACTCAATGCAATTCAACAAACATTTGTTAAGTGTCCATTATGTGTATGATACTGTCCTTGGTTCTGGTAGTTTCTGGCTACATACTTTTGCAATTGTTTTCAATTCCTCTTCCTAGTTTAGCCTTCTAATCAACACCCCAAAGTCAATGCCATCTCATTCAGCACTCTACTGGACTGAAAAAGAGAGGTTCTCTCTGTCTACAGAGGTTGACCCCAAAGTCAACCCTTCAGTTCCAGATCGAAACTTCTGGCCTCAAAGCATCTCTAGCTTAGTAGCTTTCCTGAATCTACTCACAGAATTACCTTCAATTTGGCTTTCTTTTTGCTGGGCACACATTCTCTTGGTCAGCTTTCTTTGAGCTGGCCCTATTTAAACAATTTTCCTCCTTTTAGTCTTTATTACTCAAAAACCTACATGGCATAGAGAAAAGAGGATTGAATTTAGATTCAGAGGACCTGAGTTTGAACTGTAGCTTTGGTACCTTCTACCCATGTGACCTTGAACAAATCATCTGACTTCCTTGAGCTTTGATTTCCTCACCTATAAAATGAAGAAGTTGGATTTTAAGGTTCCTTCTGACTAGAAATCTATGATCCTATGGTCCCAAGTGCTAACTGTACTATTCTCAGACTCTTTTCTTCCCTTTCTCAATGTCAAAGACATATTTCCCAGAATGCTCCACCACTCTATCCATAAAGAAAGGGACCAGATATTTTAAAAACAAACAAATCACACTGTCTATGGTTATAAGGGAAAGGAATCTCAGGAATAAATAAAGTCCAGGGATAATACCCAAACCATACATTAGCTATTACTTTAAACCCTTTTGGGTGGAGAAATGTACTGGTTTTTGTGTCCTCTCTTTGCCTCCAACTCATTCTCTGGCAGAGCTACCATTATAAAATCGTCCAAATCTAGGAAATGGAAGAAAGAGAATCTAATGGCTTGGCTAATTCATAATTCAATGATTATGCCTTAAGAATTATAATTCCATGTAATAAGACCTCAGTTTTGCTAATCAATTACTTCATCAACTTTTTTTTATAAAGTGTCAATTCGCATAAGGCTCTGGGCTAGCTATGATAATGGTGGGGGGAAGTGTGAGAGATAGGGAAGGTAGTAAAGTACAGAATGAAGTCCATGACTTTAAGTGTGTCTCCCAAGAGTTGGGTCATGCACACGCACACACAAACACACAACTAACAATACAAAACCAAAACTTACGGAATTAGACAATACGTATGATAGAATCTCAGGTTAGGGAGATGTCACTGGGTTGGAATAGGCATCTAGGCATAGGGCTTTATGTTTGCTTAAAGCAGTCCTTACATACATTACCTCATTTCCAAATCAATTTCCTCCTAGCCCCTGCTTCCCACCTTTTGACCATCTGCTCCTACTTATTCACAGATCAGTTGCTAGATAGTCATGGTTGAGATGAAATACTGTGGAAAATCCCTTCTCAGTGCCAGCCCTGCTCCTTTTCATTCCTACTTTGTCCTTCTTTTACCCTGGCTGTATCTCTGGGGTAGGTAGAATCTTTCCTTTAAAAACACTCATGGTAACTACAAGAAGTGGGGTAGCTTCACTTGTATGATAACAGATGGTTTTCTTTGTAAAAGAAAAAGCCTAGCATCCTTACTGGAAGGACAACTTCCAAGAGCCTCAAAGAAAAGGAGGGCAAGAGTTGGGAGCAAACGCCGCGCTGGCTCTGGGAGGCTCTGCTCAGGAGTCATGCATGACCAGGGGTCAGAATCTGCATGGGAATGAAATAGCGATTGACTTCCCTACCTCTGAACTTCGGCATCCAACCCAGGGGACTCCTCGAACTCCTTCCTGTGGTTGAATTTCCATATCCTCCTTTTCTCTTTTCAGGTAAACAGCCTCAGAGGAAGGGGACAAGAATTATGGTTTTCCTCCAAAGCTATACTTCTGAAAAGCTGCTTGGTTGGTTCAGTGAGTGCCCTCTGCACTATGTTTCTGGCATGATTAATTTTTCTGGTCACTTTCCTTTCCACTTCTATTCTATCTGAGTTGGTTTCCTTAAAGATTTAGCTCCCTACCTGATGGGGATGTTGCCGTAGATCTCTGGACTCCTGGGAGTTGAAGCTCTGTGCTGGTTTTCAGCTTGCCTGTGTTTTTTCTCCCCAAACCTCCTTTCTCCCCTTCCCCAGCCTACATTCCATCTCTCAATAAAACTGGCTCTAATGTCCAAGGTTGTGTGACCTGCTCCTGAACAGGTAATGACTCATGTATTTATTTATATTTAGCCCCATGCAGGGCTAGTATCTACATTAATTTCTGCTTAGTAACCCTTCCTGAGATACTTTCATCTTTAGGTCACACAAATTCAAATCTACTTCTGCTCTATTTCCACATCTACTTTTTTTTTCACCAGGTATTGTTTTCATTTCTAAATCCAAAGAGAAAAAGCTAGTTTTGGCCATAGGGCATTGCATACAGAGGCAACTTTTATATGGCCTGTGCTAAAGTCTCCTCATTAAAGTATACTATATATATAGTAGATGCTAAATATATTTGCACCAAATGAATATTATTGGATGCCCAACGTATGGCTTGAAAACAAGAAGCCTACACCTGATAGTTTTTGAACTTGGGAGAATAAAATGCACTTGGAGAGAGTAAAATGTGTAGTTTCAGATTTCTTTTCACAGCTAGCTGAAAGGTGACAATCTGTAGTCAGGCACCCTGAATTTTCTCTCCCTTTGGATTATAAAAAGCAACAAGGAGTGAGGCAAAGAGCAAATCCCTCTCAATCATCACCTGGTTTACACAAGAGAAAAGCAAATACCATCAGAATGAATGCGTTCACCTATTTCTGGCTCTTTCTGCTTTATTCCTGTTTTTGATGGATGAAGTCTGCTCTGGGTTATATGTGGAGGCTAAATGGTCGTGAGTTTTAAGACAACAATGCTCATGCATTGGCATTTACTCATGGATAGAAGAGAAACCTGTTTTGTGGCACTGAAGATGATTGTGGGAACCTGGGAGTGCAAGCACGGTAGGCACTTAGTAGGGACTTAAACGTTTGTTTGTTGAACTCAATTGAACTGCACATGGCTGAGCACACACTGAGAAGACACAATGGAAGGTATGAAGGATGGCAACTTATCCAGCAGTTGACCTTTCTTTTCCAAAGTGAGAGTAGCAGGAGATGGCTTTGTTCCTCCCTAGCCTTAGCAAGGGCTGATGATGCCAGACATCTATCAGCAGGTCATCTCTGTTGTTTTATTTATTTAGTTTCCCTTCGAGCAAATGCTTTTCCCGGTAGGAAAGGACAGAGAAATGACTAACTAGAGGAGTTCAGAAAACACCTTGGTTTCTTCTGAGTTTTCTGTGCATGCCAGAAACATGAAAGGAGAAGGCAGGAAAAAAAAAATCTCATTTTAGGTTCTAGCCTAGAGTTTAATCTTGTTCTTGGTCAAATGTCAGCTACGTTGGCAAGTAGAAAGAAAGAAAAAGAAATTGCACTCAAGGACAGAAATGTGCCTAGATAGAGAGAGGGAGGGAAGGATGCAGAGAGATAGAGAGAGAGAGAAAGAGAAAGAGAGAGAGAGAGAGAGAGAGCGCATTGCCCATCTTCTTTTAGGAAGAATTGTTAAATGCTGTTGGGAG